GCAGCACAACAGCGAGAGTTATCTTGTGGTGAAGATGACAGTGGAGTCACAGTATACAGTCGTTATTTTACTGTTATTTACTGATAATTTGGTTTGGTAAATTACTGTAAAAGTCATGCAGCCAGTCATTTACTGAGATTTTACAGTATTTATGCTGTAAAATTACAATAATACAGTACAGTAATTTCACTAGCACTGCAATGGTTAATTTTACAATTAAAAATTGTAGTGCTAATGAAAATCCTCAGACTGTTCTTGCAGTGGAGTTCAGAATGTTCAGTATTTGAGAGTTACCATCTAAGCATTCCTTCTGTGCCACAACCATCCATGGCTGAGTGTCTGAGACAGTATAACTGTCCTTGCTGTCTCTGGGTGGCCCTCTAACATGCTAGCTGATGTAGCAGAATTAGCAGTTAGTGTTCTCCTCCAAGCGTGTTGAGCTGCCTAGTGACATTATGCTAATACTGAGGGGGGCAGTGGTCCTCAGTGGACCACTGATAGCACTTAGCCATAAAAATCTGTGAAAAATAAAACTTAAGAATAAAAAGAAACATAAAATTAATATAAAATGTAGAACATAGAATTTCTAATGGTAAACAACATTAACACAAGTGCTGCAATGGCAGCTTTGTCAGTTTTGTCAATTTTTTTGCCTCGAGATTCACGTCACATATTGTGGGGGTGGGCACCTAAACATAGCTGTGTTGAAAATTTCCCTTCATGCTTTATAGTGATAAATGGGTGGGCCGTAAGGTGGAAAAGGCTGAGAACCTTACTCTACAGGGAACTTAAATATGGCATTTTTCATGCCATACATTTCGGAAACATAGGATATAAAATGTGCCATCATTTCTGCACAGGCCCCTTTTTAATGTAAATGTAAAAAAGCATGTAAATTAATGTATGTATGTAAATTAATAAACATTAATTAGCCTAACAATTTCCAGAAATGTGTTCTCTGTAGAGGAAACTTATTTTTTACTTAGAAAATCAGCAAAGCATGTAATTTGGTCAAGGGTGCCCTTACTTTCAGTCATTTGCACATGACTGTACCTATATGCCCATACAGTTTGTTGATTTTTGGACAGTATAAGTAAGACGACTGCTTGTGTTTGTGCCGTCGATTTGCAGCTGACTAACTCAGTGGATCGCTACATCAACAACTTCCAGGTGGTGGACAACCTGAGCGACAGAGGGTCTCTCATCATACACTTGTTCAAGGTAACATGGAAATATGGTAACGTTCTCATATTGCTAAGCTTTTACGTTACCCTAGCGCTGTCCATCTTACCATAACGTCACCATGGTAATTCGCTGTAGTATGTTTATTGGAATACGCTCCATCCCAGTCATGTAGTATTTATACTGGGACTTGCAGTTAGCAAGACAGGTCTAACTAGCATATAGCAAAGCAACTGAACACATAAGCTTAACTACACAAGTGCCCATAATCCATTAACATCACATTCATGATGTGATTTGAGTTGAATATAATGCTGAATGTTTGTTTAGTACATTTCTAATGTTATGTATTTTTTACTTTCATTTTCTGTTAATATTAATTTTGAGGTAAACTGCCTTACTGCCAGTGAGCTGATCAGCTTGCAAACCTATCAGCACTCTGTAGCAGTGAGGCTAGCCTCCTATTGCCCGAAATCTTTTTTGGTGTTGAAAAATAGAAAATCTAGTGTTTATATAGGTTAGGTTGGTAAGTTTTCATTGTTGTTTAATGTAATACATCTTCTAAAATTTAAGGAAGCTCCTGCATGAATAGCTTTAAACATTGTTCTATAAACATAAACTTTTTTTTGGCTGTTTAGCTCCCAATTATTAGAAAGACTTACCGTGTACTTCCTCTCACTGGCCACTTTATTAGAAACACCTATCCTATACTGTCACTCAGTGGCCACTTTATTAGAAACACCTATCCTGTACTGTCACTCAGTGGCCACTTTATTAGAAACACCTATCCTGTACTGTCACTCAGTGGCCACTTTGATAGAAACACCTCCTTTGTACTTCCATTCACTGTCCACTTTATTAGAAACACCTCCTTTGTACTTCCATTCACTGTCCACTTTATTAGAAACACCTCCCTTGTACTTCCATTCACTGTCCACTTTAATAGAAACACCTCCTTTGTACTTCCATTCACTGTCCACTTTATTAGAAACACCTCCTTTGTACTTCCATTCACTGTCCACTTTAATAGAAACACCTCCTTTGTACTTCCATTCACTGTCCACTTTAATAGAAACACCTCCCTTGTACTTCCATTCACTGTCCACTTTATTAGAAATACCTATATCGACTATATAGGTGTACAATTACAGACGGTCACCCATCTTTTGCTGCAGCCCCCTACCCTGTCCTTCATTGGTCTGTTGTCCAGATATTATCTTATATGTTGTGTACTTATGAAAGTGGGGGATTGAAACTGTAGGTCCACATACTTAGAGGTGTTAAGGAGATCATAATAGGATGAACGTGTGTGTTTATCTTCACAGGTGTCCAACAGAGAGCCAGACATCATCACATTCAGACTTCAGCAGAAGTTTAAAGTCGGGTTGCTACAGCCTTCTACAGTTACTGTGTACCAGTATTACAACAAAGGTACAGTTATAGCACTGTTGTTGCACAGCAGCATTAACACAATTGTACACTTGCTGTTTATTTCTTCTGATGTTTTCACTGTCCACTCTTATTAGAAACACCTGCCCTGTACTTCCACCCACAGGCCACTTTATCAGAAACACCTGCCCTGTACTTCCACTCACTGTCCACTCTTATTAGAAACACCTGCCCTGTACTTCCACTCACTGGCCACTTTATTAGAAACACCTGCCCTGTACTTCCAATCATTGGCCACTTTATTAGAAACACCTGCCCTGTAATTCCACTCACTGGCCACTTTATTAGAAACACCTGCCCTGTACTTCCAATCATTGGCCACTTTATTAGAAACACCTGCCCTGTACTTCCAATCATTGGCCACTTTATTAGAAACATCTTCCCTGTTCTTCCACTCTTTAGTCATTTTATTAGAAATACCTACCGTGTACTTCTATTCAATGGCCACTTTATTGAAAGCACTTAGCCTGTACCTTCAGTCACTGGCCACTTTATTAGAAACACCTTGTACTTCCACGCACTGGCCACCTTATTAGAAACACCCACCCTGTACTTCCACCCACAGGCCACTTTATTAGACACACCTATCCTGTGCTTCCGCTCACCGGCCACTTTATTAGAAACACCTATCCTGTACTTCTACTCACTGACCACTTTATTAGAAACATTTACCTTGTACTTCTACTCACTGACCACGTTATTATAAATACCTAAATCCCCTATATAGGTGTACAGTTACAGACTGTAGCCCATCTTTTGCTGCAAACCCCTACCCCATCCATCATTGGTCACTTTCTGACCACAGGACTGCTGTTGTCCAGATATTATCTGGGTGGTGGATAATGATCAGGCCTCTGACTGAAAATCATGCATGATCTCTTACCGTCAGACATCATAAGCTAACAATTTAGCTAACAATAAAGAGCTGTTATAACCACTGAACCATTTAATTAATCTGTAACTGTATGATGACCAGTTGTTGGATTGGAAGTCTATTAACCTGAATTGGCACACCAATTGTCAGCTTCACAGTCATTTTTTTCACCCTTCATACGAAAGGTAAGGGGAAAAATTAGCTGCCCCCTTGTGGTCAAAGCTGGTATAATGATTTTTTTCCACCTGGTCCTGAAGGGTCAGGCCCCTCTACTGGTCAGCAATGATGTACAGTTGTACAAAGTCTTTGTGCACAAGGACACAGTCATGCTGGAACTTTTTTTCCCCACAAATTTGGAAGCGTTCTGTTGTCTGAAATATCTTTGTATGCTGTAGCATCAACATCACCCATCACTGGAACTAAAGAGCCCAAACCCTAAAAAGCCCCAGATGTTATCCCTCCTCCACCAAGCTTTAAAGTCACTGAGCTCTCCAGTATGAGACATGCTACTGCCAGTGTTTGTCTATGGGGATTGCATGGCTGTGTGCTTGATTTTATACAGCTGTTAGCTGAACTCAATAATTAGAAGGAGTGTCCACACACTTTTGGCCATATAGTGTATTTTCCAGCTGTTTTTGGTATGTTATACAGGCAGAAAAAGTAAATAAAGTGGAACTTAGACTCAGGAATGCACTCAGGTTTTTTTTTTTTCACCTTACCTTTCTTACCCATCTTACCCCTCAGGGCTTCTTTTGTCTTCTGAGGTTATTTTGTCATATGTAGAATGCATTGCTGCTGATAAATGTAGGAAAAGCATGACCTGTGTTTGTGTGTGAACAGATAAACGTTGCAGCAGGTTCTACACTCCTCCAGAGGACAAAGAAGAGCTTGGTCAGATCTGCAAGGACAACATTTGCCGCTGTACTCAGGGTAAGAACACAATGAATGAACACAGACATGCACATACAGACATTGCATACTATTCCAAAACAATTCCGACTGTAACCACCTCCTTGTTTCTACACTCACTGTCCAGTTTATCAGCTCCACTTACTGTATAGGTGCACTTTGTAGTTCTACAGTTACAGACTGTAGTCCATCTGTTGAGATGCAGCAGAAGGACATTAGGTTCAGAATCACTGGTGAATACCCTCAGTGATCTTTAACCTCCTAAACCCATTCTGTACAGGTGACTGCTGTGTCGTGAAGACAGACGATCAGTCATCGGTGAAGGACAGGCATAGCGCCACATGCACTGGAATTCACCATGGTAACTGTTGCTGACAGCATTACATGAAGGAGTCATAGTTGAAGTTGAAGCTAAATTTAAAGCAAAGTTTGTGCATAATTAAGTGTTTAAGATGTAAACAGAGTCATTCAGAGTGGTTTGGTGTGAAACGCTCTGTTCTAGAGAGACTTGCAGAGTCAGAGCTGTTCACAGTGGTGGTGATAGGAACCAGACGTCCACCTCTAAAAGCTCCCTCACAGAAAGTTACTACATGAAATGGTTAGGAATATGTTGCCTGATGCCTGAGACAGTGGTTTACCACAGTGTTTTAGCTTTGAGGTATAATTTTTAATATCCGTTCGTGGCGGAGGGGTACATGCAGGGCGTTATAAGGCAACATAGTCCAAAAAGAAAACTTCATTTTTCCAGATTTCCCTCTATTTTGTTGACTTGTTGTAAGACAAAATAGTTCCCAAAGAAAACTTGCTTGTTCAGATTTATGACTATTTGACCATCATCAACATTGCCTATAAAAGTTCAGACGACACATTTAGCTTTAGAGGATTATTTTGGATAATAAATAAAATGGCTAATTTGGGTTGTGGCTCTTGTTTTCTGTCACCACTGTAAAGAGATCTGAGTGTGTTTCTCTGCAATTTTACATCAAACCACTCTAAATTACTCTGTTTACATCTCGAACGATTAAATTATGTAGAATTTTTGAAAAATTACTGGAATTTAAGTTGGAATGTCTGATTGAAGCTTTGTTAACATAGCTGTGTCCTTTTTTCCTCTCCAGTGTTCAAGGTCAGGGTGCTGAGCGTCAGTACCAGCCAGTACGACAGATATGAGATGGAGATCCTGCAGGTTATAAAGGAGGGAGATCCTACAGGTTAGAAAGGATCTGTCTGTGTCTGGGCAGTACAGCGTTGTGCCGACAGTGTATAATATACTGTTTTTTTATATTTGTCTGTTTTAGTATATTATCACAGTCAGAACAGTGAGCTTAAAGTGGGGAATCCGGCCTAAAACTGGCATTTAATATGTTATTTATGTTATGCCAGATTCTGTAGCGCAGCCTCATCAGAACGACCAAAATCACTGTAAATTAGTAGACTGTGTTCTCAAATCTATGCCGTAAAATGCAACTCGAGCAAGGGATATTCTGGAGATTTAATTTTGCCATTTATATTTTCATTTTATAATTTCTGAGCGATAAAAATAATTGAAAATAATAATAATAATAATAGTAGTTATTACTCTTTCTGTCTTCAACTTATGAATGTAAAAAAGGGGTAAATGTTTTTTGTGCACGCAGGTTCTGAGGTTGGCCTGAAGCCGCAGGACACCAGAGTGTTTCTCTCTCATGCAGGCTGCAGGGCGGGGCTGAACCTGCAGACAGGACAGGACTACCTCATCATTGGCCCGACCTCTGACATATGGCACGAAGGCAGCACTTCCAGCAGGTAACATTAGAGATCTACATGCATTACATCTATTCTAACAAATGCTTTGTGTCTATTCTGCACTAAACACTCATACCACAAGGTTAGTACCATAAGGTTCATATTTCGGTTCGGTGTAATGATGATGCTGAAACTAATTAGCAAGAAGCTGGAAAAAATGGTGAACAGAGCCGTAGATGATTCCATAATATTTGAGAAAACAGTGAGAATGAAGTTATAATAAGTAGGTGGCGCTGGGTTCGATTCCCCGGCCGGGTGACCAGGGTCCTCTCTGTGTGGAGTTTTGTTTTGTGTGGGTTTCCTCCCACAGTCCAAAGACATGCAGTCAGGCCAATTGGAGACACTAAATTGTGCCTAAGTGTGAATATACACCCATCAGGCATAACATTATGACCACCTCCTTGTTTCTACGCTCATTGTCCATTTTATCAGCTCCACTTACTATATAGGTGCACTTTGTAGTTCTACAGTTACAGACTGTAGTCCATCTATGTCTGTGTCTGATCCACTCAGACCAGCGCAACACACAAAAACAGGCCACCACCACATCAGTGTTACTGCAGTGCTGAGAAACAGCAGAACATAAACGTTAAATATCAGACTGAAGGTCAGAAAACGATTCTGTAAGTTTGCTGGTTCAGTTAGTTCAGAGTTCAGCTCCAGTCCTGAAACCCCTGCACTGCATAACTGTGGTTTCCCGGTTAAAATACCTGATATTATTAGATAATTAATCCCTTCTTGAGCTGAACGAGGTGTGGTGGCGAATGACATGGTGCATCTGGTGTTTAGTGGCTGTAAGACTATGGCAAGGAAACAGCCCTGCACCTCTACAAATGCGCCAAACAGTAAACAGTGATATTTCCTATGCTCACTGTATTCTTTCATTATGAGGTTTTCTCTGTAACTTAACGGTAATGAAATGCGTTTCCTCTGTTTTCGGCAGGTCCACATACATTCTGGGTAAGAAGACATGGGTGGAGCGCTGGCCGTCATCAGCAGAGTGCGTCACTCAGGCTGCCATGCAGAGATGTCAGGACCTGGAGACGTTTGCTAATGAATTACTGCGAAGTGGCTGCCAGACCTGAGAAGCACCACCTTCACCATGTACAGATTACAAACACATAAACGAATTCACACACTGTCAACTCAGAACACAAACAACTGTACACAAGCATGCTTAAAACCTTAAATACACACCAGAGATTTTAGCCTTTTTTACTATTCAGATATTAAGTTTGAAACGAATAATCCTAACATGAAAATATGTTATGTTGTCATAAATAAAAAAACAAAAGCTCAAAGGGTTGAATATTCATTTATTGCACTTAACTATCATAAAAGGCAGTCCGTACTGTGATTGGTCTTAAACTCAGCATCATTCATTCAGAGACCTCCCCCTGACTGTGATTGGTCTTAAACTCAGCATCATTCATTCTGAGACCTCCCCCTGACTGTGATTGGTCTTAATCTCTATGTCAATTGTTCTGAGACCTCCATCTGACTGTGATTGGTCTTCATCTCAGCATCATTCATTCTGAGACCTCCGCCTGACTGTGATTGGTCTTCATCTCAGCATCATTCATTCTGAGACCTCCATCTGACTGTGATTGGTCTTAATCCTCATAATTTGTTCTGAGACCTCTATCTGACTGTGATTAGTCTTAATCTCAGCATCAGTGTTCATAACGCTACATGACACCTACATTAGCTCCTTGTGACAACTGACAAGCATATATAGACTTGTTCAAAAAGGAGTTGCATTTACTGGTTTGTCACAGTTTTACAGCAAATACTTCAGATTAAAGCCCAACTTTGAGGAGTCAATCAATTTTTGGCTACATATATATCTATATATCTATCTATATATATCTATATATATATATATATATATCGCTGTTGTCAGAAGAAAACCTTGTATTTCCAAAATGATAACTTTACAGGAGAAGGAAAAAATCTACTTCACTTTACATGTAAGTCAATGGACTTTTTTCCATTTTCCATTTCCATTTTGGGTCGTTTCTTTTGGTCCATTCATCATGAAATTTACACACAATGTAAAGGTTAACAGGTATTTTTAAATAATGGCAAAAACTGAAAAACGAGATACGAGGTTTTCTTTCAACAGCAGCAAATATATATATATATATATATATATAGGCTGGCTTAAGTTGCATGAAACTTTCTTGCAACTTGTTGCATGTTGCAAGTTGCCTTCAGTTTAATTTCTATACAACTTTGCAGTAACATGAAGCTATTCAAGAGCAATTAAAGTAAAAAAAATAAACTAGCAGCCTGTATTTCTTTAACATTGTATTGTCCTCACCATGTAAAGTCTTCCAAGTAGGTGTGTAATTCAACTAGGTACATTCCCATTGGCTGCTGTGCAGCTTGACGCTAGTCCTACATACTGTGTGACTGGCTGCAGTTGTGGTCTATATCGGTGTAAATTAGGCAAAGTGATAATGAAAGTTTATTGATGTTTAATTCTCTAAGCTTATCATCATTATGGGCGAAAACTTTATCGCAGCACTACTTGAGATTGTGATTATTGCCCAGCACTAAACACAGCCTTCCGGAACTTGTACGACATTATAAGGGAATTTTTCCAAATGGCTGTAGAGAAGGCTCAGAAATGCACTCTCATTCAGATCTAAATAAAGCACTGTACAATAGCACTGTTTGCTAGCGTGTCTGCCCAGCTCAATTAGATTCGGAACACACGCCCAGAGTTGCCGTTCCATGTGGTTTTATTTGATTAAACAGATTGAAGATTAGGGAGCTCCTGTGGGTGCTGTGTTTACATGCCGCCGGGGTGTTGACATTAGCCAGGTCAGTTCAGAGCACGGCCCAGACTGCTTTATAGCAAAATACACTCCACACTCGGTTTGTTTAGACCAGGGTCCATATGCAACAAGTATCTTGCCCATTCAGGAGCCACTCTATTAGTCTATATACTCTGTTTATTTAGGGTGAAGTGTGTGTGCCTATGGGCTGTTATGTTTTAATCTGTCTGAGATATTGCAGACTAAAAGCTGACTTCAAAGTGTCTTTTGAATTTACAATGTGGTCGGTCAGCCGAGCAGCTTTGGTGTCTAAAGTTTGCTCTTTTTTGGTTTTGAGCTGTGAGGCTCATGTCTAATGCTGCGTTTACATTATCACAGTAGGCGGACGATGGATTCCGTGTTTTTTTCCATGTTTTTTTCCGTGGAGTACCACCAGTGACAGTGGCAGCGTACTGCAGTGGTCAGCAAAACATTCCGTCAAGGGTTTGATTTTCCCAACCTTGTACGTTAGCCGCAGCAGTAGAACACACTGGATGTCAATTTTTTCGGAAACACCGGCACCGAGTAGTCCAGCATAACCAATCATGTACAACTAAACCAAACTTTAGCAAAAACTGAAACAATGACATTTTTTTCTGCAGAGTTGCATACAATCAAATTTTGAGCACAAATGTCACAGATTTCTTATTCATCTGTTTTATCTTTGCTGTTTCTGTATGATCAAACTCACGTCTGGTGGAAGTGCATGTAAATTTGAGCATAATAGTTTAACAACCTGAAAAAAAAATGCTTGATTTGTGGATAAATGATCCAGATTATGGTCAGTAACATCAATCATATCATCAATAATGATAAAAATAGAAAATAACAGTGACAATGCTAATAACTTTGTACGCAGCAGTCCTAAAGGGGATTGTTTTTATGTGCACTTTGATATAAACAAATAAACGACTATTCATTTCATTTAAAGACTTTTACTTTATACTACTGATGTAGTTAATTAACTACCTTCCAAAAAATGCAAAACCTAGTTCACTAGAAGCCCCTTTTTATACTGCATTATTGCTCAAGCAGCCCTTGTTTTAGGAAAAATCACACCACTTTACCACCTGCTAAAAAACGACGATGTTTTGTTCATTTTGCATTTTATTCTTTCCAATTGCTGTAGTCGTAATACCATAAGCTATTAAAGCTCTGACCAGTAGGGGGAGCAGTACACCTGCTGCTTGACCCCAAACTCCACCCATGAGCCTGTGGAATACTTCTGTTTAATTGGATCGCATTTGAAGCAATAGCAAGAATTGGGGCATACTTAATGTAAATGACATATATATGAATATGTAAATAAGGTAATTGTGCGTGTGCACTTGTTTTCACGCACTGAAGCTGGTTCATTAATCACTCGTGATTCAGTTTCCTGAATCAGATACTAAGTGGTTCGTACATCATTCAGTCGTTTAAATCTACGCTTTTTTTGATGAATGTGTTCAAAACACGTAGCCCACCATAACAGGCAAAAACGTTATTCCTCTAATGCTATCACCGTGGCAACTTGTCTGTGGTTGCGTGTCGTCACCAGTTCTTCTACAGGCCTCTGAAGTCGTGTGTCATTCTGTGGTCGGCGTCGCACGGCCCATATTAGAAACTCCTGGTCTAAGCTACATTTCTCTATGACAGAAATGAATGGGGTTTTCGACAATCGCTGCTGTCACACTCTGTGGTTACCAAAATGATTCCAAGCTCAATGTTTTATCCTACGTACATTTTTCCTCTGAATGTCGATTGGTCCTCACAAAGAAACCAAAACGTGAATTTAGCTACATGTAAGCTAACTTTGCTGTGCATTGAACTGACATCATAAGTACACAAGTACACAAAAAAATACCCCAAACAGTCCAGCAAGCTTTGTTCAGTGAGGTAGTTAACCCTCTATTGCACGATGTTGCCTCAGGGCAACAAACTTATTTTTCTCACTTTACAATAACATTATATATATTTAAAGACAACAAAAGGGTTAACTAAAAAGGGAAGAGTTTGAGTAAGTCAATAAAAAGCATGTGCTTGGTCATACTGTCTCTTAGTGAGCACTTTTTTAACATCATCAATTTTTTTTGTTATGAGAATTTTCAGAAATATTTTTGTTGCCTAGAAGCAACACTACCCGACGGTGGAATGGATTTGGCCAGTCACAAGCCAGGTCTCACCACTTCAGGGAACACAGCTCTATATCATGTCTTCTTATTGTCGCACAATGTTGCCTCAAGGCAACATACTCCAAAAGGACCCCAGCACACATCTTTTTTTATTTTATTTATTTTTTTTTAATGGTTTTGAATTTAATAATCGGTCCGAAAAAATAAATTAAGGATCATTTTATGCAAGAAAAGTGAATTGAATCATTTTTTTCAAATTGCTCTCATAATGCGTGCAGTAGAGGGTTAAGTCGTTTTGGCTGTACAGTACATCAGGAGTAACTGGTGTGGGTATATAATAGTGTTGTTGAGTGGTAGACTTGCTTTCATGCCACATCATGTCAGCGAGCGTTAGCTTGCTATTAGCGCAGTTATAGCAGTGACAACATGTATCGTGTTTGGAACTTTGTGTGTGGTAGCGTCCGTTCATTTTTGCCGTAGAGGAATCCAGCCTAGCTCTGGAGTTGCTAATACGGACGTGAGGCAAATACACATGGCCTACTTCGAATTTTAACTTGAGTTAACTCGAGAAAGGAATTCACCAATGATCTCGAGTTAATGCAGAAAATCTGTGAAGAAAGTTGCCTTAATATGTTAAGTTGACCCAACTTTTCTCTATTTACAGGACTAAGGTACAGACAGAATTCAGGCTGACACTGTTTCAGCTACGTGATGTACTTTTGTCCATTTTTATTGATAATTGTAGGTCAAAGAGCACCAGAACCCACACATTTCAGTCTATTAGAGATACTAAACACAGCTTATTTACTTGTTAGTTATGTTAGCCTCAGAGCTCCAATGCAGAACTGAAAAAAACAAACTTTAAATGTCAAACGTCCTGGCTGACTTTTCATTGAGCTGTTCCTTTAAGGTTGCAGTTCACTCAGATGGCCAGTAGAGGGAGCAGTTTAACCAGAATAGATGGCTCGATGAACATTTCTTCTAACTAGACTGGCTGGATGGAGCTTTTAGTTGCCACTACACATCTTTAGTGAGCATGTAGCTTTGAAATCACAACTGCTGAGTTTAAATAGAGTTATAATAGACTTTTAATACAGCTGAATGTCCATCACAGTCCAGCATTCAGGTTGTTTAGCATGTCTCTTTCTGAGCTTCATATACAGCGAGACATGTTCACACACATGCGCACACACACTCTTTCTTACTCTGTATGAGTGTGTGTGTGTGTGTGTGTGTGTGCATATGTGACCTTGAAAGCCTAATAGCCAGTCATAACAAGCAGAGGAAGTGGAAAACAATGCGGTCATGAATCCTTCTGAAGGACAGAGGGAGAGACAAAACGAGAGAGAGGCAGACTTAGAACTG